CGCAACGGTGTTTTTTTACTCTCTCCTTTCCACAACTGGCACAGTTTGAACTGTGCCTTTAAAATGCTTGTAGAGGGAGGGATGATGCCAGTGAAAACAGCTGGAGTGTTTTCCATAAGAGGAGCAACTTCATTGCACAAACAAATCCCCTACTGCTCTCTTTGCTGACATCAACATAACAAAGACTGTATATTTGGTGAAACATTCAGGTCTCAGACAAAAAAAATAAGTTTGCATGGTAGGAGACAGCAGAACTACCTCAAATGGCCTCACACAGCACAGAAAAGAAACATACAAAAACTCAGTATATATGAGATGAGGCTTTGTATCCCCTTACTTTCTGGTTACTTGTTTGTGTGCTTATGCTCTAGGTTAGCCTTGAAGGATTCATTTTGTCACAGAATTCAGATGAAATATTTCCTGCCTCACTGAAGTTTGAATGAGGAGCGCTTGTAACATCCTAATCTGCCAATTCATTGCCCATAAAGGCTTGTGCAGAACAGAAAAGGGCCATTGCAGCCTGCTTAATCGATAACTTCCTCAACTTTAAAAAAGTTAGTGAGAAGTTCTATTTGGACAGATATAGCAAAAGTGTATTTCAAAGTTGTGATAACTGCCTGTAAGTGAAGAATCAGAAGAAGCAGTTAAATAAAATCCAGCAGTTAAGACATAGTGTTTTGCCAGTATGAAGTGAAACCACAGAAAAAATACTTTCAGAAATATTTAAGTATAGATCCTTGAGAGATTTCAGTGCGTCTGAAGCAGGGGAAGGTACGTCTTGAGAGGAAAATTTATCCTGTTAGGATGTCCTATTTGAGTAGCCTTGTGCCTCAAAATTTTCCCACACTGGCAGTCAAAATACAGCAGTCTTTATCAAATCAAGGCCCATGCGCTGGTCACAGGTGTTTGAAATGAAAATTAAAAAGCATAACTGTTATGGAGAGTATTGATTTTGCTATGCAGGGATGTAGTGGAAAATGTATAGGTGTGTAAATCACTGAAAGTAGATCACTGCCCTGCTTATTTAGCAGACAAACGTAAATTATACCTCTCAGAGGTGAGGTCTGTAGTGGCATGAATGACGCAAATGATGCAAAGCTGATGAGTCCTGGTGGAATGTTTGGCTTTTGCAAAGGTGCAGACCAGACCGTGGTGATTCACTTCTCTTTCACTGTATTGAATGAAATCTATCCTTATGGTAAGTCATTTCCTTTAGGGCAAGTTATCATCTCTTAGAAGATTTTACTGCTGGGAGTTCTGTTGACCCATGATTTCTGCTTCTTAGCAGAGACACACATGGGGCTTGCAGCTGCCTTTTTCAAGTGGTTTGTAATTTTTTTTTTGTTTGGTCAAAAAGCAGTGTAAGAGTTCTGGTTTCCCCAACGTTTCAAGGTGAAATTTCGTACACTATTGTATTGGCTATTGAAGCCACAAAAAAGCAGAACTTGTATTTGCAACAGCAGAACTTAATGTGTTGTAGATGCAAATAAAATCCAGTTTCTTAGGGTCATGTCCAGTTACTTTGAAAGTCTGTCACTAGGTCCCTCTTTTAGGGCTTTTAAATTAAACATCATCCGAAGTATGGAGGGCATGGTGCTTTTTCACATATTTTCCTGGCAGTGGTAAATATGCCTGGAAAGCAGAGCTGACCAGAAATGGGACACTGCCTGTTTAGAAACCAGGTTTGAATATTCAGCAAGAATTTTTTTCTCCTTTGCTGCTTTGGTATAAGTTTCTTTCTTTCAGCAATGAGCAAGTCTGAACAATTGCAGCAGAGAATTTGGTATTTCCAGGTTTGAATTTATTTCCAACAAAGTATAGTTTTGGGTTGCCCTTGTCTGTTTAATAATTTCATGTTGCAGAAAACTGCTATTTAATACTTGAAATGTGAGTTTTCTGTAACCATCTGTTACATATTTGTTAAAATGAATGCTAGGGAAAAACCTTTCAAAAGGGTGTTTTATATTGTCTAATGGTGAATATACTGCATTTGTTGCCATCTTTTGTGCTACTCAATAAAACCAGGTTTTAATCTCTCATGTGAAGCCTGTAAAAATAGGATCTGATCATTGTGTTCTGGAAACTGCTCAAAAATCTACTGTCAACAACTAAATCTTGGGAAGTAAACCCTGTTCTAAAGGTATAAAAGCTTGATTGGTGCAAGTTTCAACATTACATAAAAATGAAGCATGAAGGGAGTATGACTGTAAGAAATTTCAAGGCTGAAGTAGAAACTTAACTGCATACATAGATTGCCTCAGTTACCACAGCCCAGGGAGAACTGGTCTAACTCAACATGGTATCATAGGGTCAGATCTCAGGACTTGCAGTGTCCTTGCTGGGAGGAGGTTCACTATTGTGCAAAGGACAATATCCTTGCAGGGTTCCTCCTGCTGTTGCACAGTCGTAGCCTTTCTGCCAGCACTAAAGGACCTTCTGAGGACAAAACAACAGTCTTTTTCATCTGTAAGGAGCTTTTTCTTTTCTCAGTGGAAAGTTTGGGCTTGACAGAGATAATGACTTGGGACCTATACACACACATCAGACAAGGAATAATAGACTGGTTCTCATCAGCCAGCTCAAAGAGCAGGCAGAAGTGTGTCTGCTTTAGAAGCAGACATACCCTTGGTGTTTTATGTTGCACTCAATGGAATAAATCTAGAAGTGTAAATCTGATCAGAATACACTTATAGCTGCCTGCACTACTCTTCCTCAACTTTCACATTTCCTGCAGTCAGTGGAGAGAAATGGATATGAGCTAACTCCCATCTGTTTGTTAGCTCAGCAGGTCATATGGTGAGGGCCTGCGTGCGGTCCTGATGGGGAAGTGTTTCGCCAAGAACAATGCAGATTCCTGGGGGATGTATAACTCCATGGTGTATGCTCCCAGAATCTCCACTATCCTCCGACAAACCTGGAGGCACAGCCTTGTGTGGATGAGGGATTTCACTGCCTAACTGATCTAGACAGACTATATAACAAACACAATAAGGATGCACTTGGTTCTGCATAGAGATCCTTGCTAGAACTCCCATCTGCTCTGGTCATACAGTTACTGTAACCATAGACATTATAAAAATCTCACTTTTCTGGGACTGGTAATACTGGCCTGAATGTCCTGGCCAGAGGCCAAGCTCCTCCAGCAAAGGGTTAGTGTCGTCTAATCACTTGTGATACAAGTCCTAAGTTCAGAGATCTCCACGCAATACTTCCTCATGGGAGAGGGGGGCAAGTCATGAGCATTCAATCAATGCAGTGACCTTGCACTTAGTTCAGCATAAAAGGCTGATATTTTTTCAACACTCCATAATCTCTATCCATGTATTTTTTGTTTACATTGCTTCCTGCTGGTCTTCTCTTTCTGTTTGTAGCTTTAGATGATAGCTCACCATCTTATTCCCCGTTAAGGTAGCTTTCCCTAGACCAGAAGATCAAGGTACACCTTTATTTGGTGCTGGCTGAGAGCCTTAGGAGTCCTACCTGGAAATCCTGGGAAACATAAGCTTGAGAGACTTCCCTGCATCCCTGGACAATGTCTGGCCTCAGAGCGGAGTCTTTTATCTTTTAGTGGTTTTTATGCTCCTTCCAACAGATACAGTAGACAATCATTGCATACTGTAGGTAAAATGGTGCAAGCATATTGCAGAAGCAGTTTTATAGTGTAGTTCTCTGAAGATGTTCACTCAGTATCACCCTTGTGACACATACCTTTTGAAAGTCTCAGGAGCAGGGGCTGTTCCACTTGCGTGATTACTTGGTAATCATGACTTTCAAAAGTTTGTGTTGCTGACAAACTTCAGGGTTCAAATGAAACATTCAAAGTGAATGTAATTTTACTAATCACAGTGGGAAACATGTCAAAAGCACTGATTTGGGTTACCCTTTTTCTACATGGAGTTGTCTAGAGGCTATTCTTTTGGTTCCCCCTATGTATGAAATTCTTGGCCGTAAGACCTGTTGGTTCTATATCTTTCAATTCTTTACCTCTCAGTAACTGGAGGCTGAATTATGCAGGCAGTGGGAAGTAAATCACTGCTTGAGCCATTAGAAATGCAAATGCTCATTTAAAGGAATGTCCCAGTATCACTGAAAGGAACATACGTTTCACTGCATTTGTGATTCAGGGGCTAGTTAGAAATTCTCTACACAGGCTTTGGAGTATTCGGCCAGAAATAACGGTAAGATGTTACCAGGCAGCAGGGATCACTCACTATTGGCCTCATCTGGGGTTTTGAGCAGGAGGAATCCTTAACTTCAGTATTCAAATGCAATAGGTGGGAGAGGTACATTGCACATGCCAGGGCGCTGCAGGCACCCGTGAGCCTGCCTTAGTTGCTTTGTACAGCCTCACCTGGGACTTCCACCTGCATACCCCTTGTCCACGGTCCACAAACCCTCTTCAGCTCAGCCCAGGCCCCTGCACCTTTGGGAGCCTTGCTGCAGGCAGCTCTGCTTCTGAGCCCTTCTGCAGGGCTGCTTATGGCTGGAGCCACCTCGCAGACATGGGCCTGCCCTGTGCCTGGCCGCCCTCACTGTCTGCTGGACTTCCCAGTGACCCCCAGACCCGCCTCGTCACCGGGCATTTGTCTGGCAGTCAGCACTGTCAGAGACCTGCCCCTGTGACCTCCCTTGCCCGGCTGCCCCTGCCTGGTGCTGGGGAAGGACACTGCCCCGGCTGTGCTGGGGTCACCTTGGCCACCATCTCACCTCCCCTCCGTGAGAGGACCTGCTCTTCCCGCTCCCCGACAGGACAGCAGGTAACAAAAACCAGTTCCACAAGCGGGTTTTTTTTAAAAACGTTTATTGACAAATGCCACATTAGGTATTCCCTCGAAAATTTGACTATCGATATACTGCATTGCACACAGTTTACAGAATCCCCAAGATTTTCATGTGTTTTTCAGGACAAACACACTACTCAATACTATGATTTTCTTTTCTTATTAGCCGAGTGGCAACTTCAAGACCAAGAGGTCTGGTTCTTGTGCTTAAGGGTACTTTCAGCAGGCCCCTGGAAAGAAAGAAAAACAGAAAGAAAGAAAAGTAAACTTTAGTCCTCGCAGGTAAATTTGTGAAGTGCTTCAGCAGCCTGTGAGTCTTCAGTGAAGCTGTAGCTACCTCGTTCCTAGGGTACTTCTGAATCAAGATTAGGATGGGCAGGTGCAAAAGATGCTGTCTGCATTGCTCTGTGGGTGTTAGCCGAGCCCTTGGGCAACCTTAGCTAGTCCCAGCCAGCCATGAGGCACCTAAGCACGAGCCCACAAGCCAGCTGCCCTCCCTCTGCTACAGTGAGCAATATAGAGGGGCACGGGGTAGGGATGCCCATGCCAGCCCCATAACCTTGGGTGATGACAGCACCTGCTCTGAGGCGGAGGGCTGGCTCACACAACGATGTTCAGTTCAGAACATCATTGTTATTTCTTGTCCAGCAGTGCAGAGCATGTGCGACTGCAGCAATCCCCAGACCAGGTCCTCAGGCCGGGTGAAGTAAAGGGCCAACCTCCGGGCAAAGCTGTGGGCATGTGCAGGGTGTGAGCAGTTAGCTGCCAACAAAGAGGAATTTATGCTTCCAGCATAGCCTTAAAGCATTATCTGCCCGTCTCATGGGCAAGCATGTGAACTAGATCAGCTCTCATGCCTCCAGGAAAATAGTTCTCTCAAAATGGGCTTTAGACATGCTTTGTTTGCATGTATGTGGCACAACTGCTGACTGCCACTGCCAGCAGACACAGATCATCTGCTCAGAGCCCCTCATCTCTGCTGCTCAGACTGCCCAGGACACAAATCATGCTGAAGCTAAGCAGAGGGAGGGTGCTCATTCCTAAAGGCAGCTTCTCCTCCTTTCCTAGAGGACAGTGCACAGACCTAAGGTAAGCTGCTGTTATCCAGGTGGCCAAGACAAACATTTCCAAGTGCAGAAACACCAGGTTGTTCCACCCATCCCTATCCTGTCAAAGTAACAAAGGTGATCTTCCTTCGGTAATGTGCATTTCAGCACACAGGATCCCTATGGGGGCAAACCTCAGGCTGCAGAACCACACTGTAACACGCTCTCTCCCTTGCATGACCTTCCCTTTGCATCTGTTTTCTTATTGGATGTATCATTTAAAAACCTTGCTAAGAGACCACAATGTAGTTTGCTGCGGTTCTGTTGTGTTTGCTCATTATCCTGCAGTACCTGACTGAAGCACGGGCTGGAACTGGCCAGACATGCAGATTTCTTCCTGCTTCTGGCGCACAATGCGCTGGATGGCTGGGGGCAGGCCACGGGGGTTGCGTGAGAAGATCAGGGAGTAGCCATCATCGCAAGAGCCATCCTCCTTCAGACTGCGGCAGGCATAGGTAATGGCGTAGTTATCATAGTCGGTGTCAATCACCCAGTAGTTGTCCCCTGAAACATCAGAATACACGTGTTGGTCACAGTGGTCAAAACAGAGAAGAGGTGGTTGTAGCCATCCTGCAGAGAGACTCCTCACTTCAGCACATGGGAGGGATAGCTTCCCAAAGGAACTAATGTTACCTCCCACATCCAGCTTATGTCCACACCATGAAGTGAAGAATTGATGTGATGATGCACAGGGCACCTTTGTTCCCCATGATACTAGGCGCATTCTCGCCTTTGGTTTCTTAGGCTGAAACTATTAGGAGGACTAGGACTTTCCAGGATTTCAGTAACCAAAAATCGCTTTATGTTGCTTGCTCAAGCATGGGGAGGCAGGGCATACACGTTAAGTTTTGCCGTACAGATTAAATTTCCTACACAAGCAGCCTCAGCAAAGCATGCCTCCTGTTTTCCAGACGTTGCTCAGCTAAGTGCCTTTTGGTGTGGCTTGTCTGCCAGGACTAGGTGAATGTTCTTCTTTCTTATGCATTTGTAGGCCAAGTCCTGCCCAACTTCCAGAGCTGGAGTCACACAGCTATGGGAGAATCAGGCACAAAACATGGGGTACGCAGGGTGCATAACTGAGGTTCTCAGTTTCATGCATGAGAAGTTTCTGCAAGGGGGGCTTCATTTAACGGCTCCATTTTGTTAATTCCACCTGTGTCTCCTTGAGAAGAGCTGCACTTCGCTGCTGGAGTGCAGATGTGGGTCCACATGTTGCCTCCCATTAGCTATGGGGAGTACAAGGACAACTACCCCTCTGCACCTCAGCACTGTGGGGTCCAGGAAGTACTGCTTCCCTAGATTTAGCACCCCACTTGGCTGCACAAAATCTGTGTGTGTGATCCGTTGCCTCTAAGCTGCAACCTTCCTGTCAGTGTATGTGGTGTATAGAAGGGGCCTCTGTGGATTGTCTGAGTCCTGCCCCTTCTGTGGGAATTAAAAAGCACCTCTTGGATAAAGCATCCCCGCATCCCCCCAGAAAGGATTCTTTGTCTCCACTTGGCACAATCTGCTCTCAACTATTTTCCCCTCTCCTATACTGAAACACACAAACCCAGGAAGCTGTAAGCTATTGCCCATCACTAGTGGGCCGGGGAAGTTCACTCACCACCGCTGGAGAGGTAGCTGGCCAGTCCCTGGTAGGTCATGTACATCTTTGCTGGAGTGGCTGGGGCAGGTACTGTGTACTGAGCAGCCATGTCAGCACAGATCACCCAGAACCTGCAACGAGATCCGTGACACCGAAGGTAAAACCCTGTGGCATGTGAGCTTCAGGCAGGTGTCCCTCACTCAGGACTCGGGCAAGAACCAGGCTATGTTTCATCACAACTGCCTCAGGCGTAGGCAGGGCCTTCCTCACTGCAAAGTTACTGTTTGTCACTGAGTAATGACATCCCCCCATCACTGACTGTGCATTGCTGCTGCCTGGTCCCCTCCGCTGCAGTGCAAGCACGCTGTGGCTGGGGCAATGCCTTCACCCCACTTCAGCTCAGCGGGCTGTTTACCACCCGTTTCTGTACAAGCAAACAGCCACCAAGCAATGTGATAGAGGTAATTTCTTGGCTCCCTGCTAGCAGTTTGCAGCGTGAGCTGACCTGTACTTGGGCTCATTTGGGCTCATTTGCTGTGTCCCCAGGTGGAGGTGGCGAGTTGGGTCTCCTCTCTCTAACCCTTTTTTAGCTGTATTGGCACAGAAATGTCTGTTACAAGCATAGAAATAATTGCAGCCCGGTCTAGTTAAAAGCCCTCACACAGGCTGTGGGAATCCTGTAGCTGCTTGAACTGCCTGTCTTAATTGTCCATTTCTTCTAATGCCCTTCTCTGTTTATTTTGAATACCACCTGCGTCTTAGCACCGCTTGTCAAGTGTTACCTGGGTTTGTGGAACAGAGGAAGGGTCTGCATTACTTTCCTTGCATGGGCTGTGCTTTGCCTTTACCCTGATGCTGCAGAAATAAATCCCTGCCAACTGTTTCAGTTCTTTTGGGAATCCTCTCACCTGCACTGCATGGCATGCCTGCAGACCTTAGTTTGCCCCATCCCAAGACATCTCGAAGTGCTGTGGTGTTAAGACATACAAGGTGCACAGGCACTGCTCTATTCTGTTATTCATGCAGTTAGACAGTTTTTGGTGGTTAATGCACAACAGCACTCATGCTAGCCCACTAGAAGACCCAGATTTCCTTTTCCACACCCAGAAAGCTATTTAATCCTTTTACATGCTGTAATTCCTTGTAGCCAACAGCCAACATGGCCAACAGGTAAAACTCCTAAGCTTCCTTCCATCTGTCTATTCAGGCACCACAAGAGTTAACCCTGTGTTTTCCTCAGCAATCTATCCAACACTGTGTTGAAAGGCCTGTGAAAGCAGTGCTTACTTACACTCCTTTCTTTCCACTGAACCTCTCAGTGGAATGAGAGCTGTCCTGCCCTTGCAGCCCCAAGGCTTTGCCAGCTCCTCTCACTTGGTTGCAATTCATTTACCTAACCACTCTGTCACTCAAGATTTGACTTTATAATTGACTATATACTATAATGTGGTAGTTCCGTGATGGACCCAGGCTAGAGCCAGGCTAAGAAGTAACCCAGGACTCAAAAGTTGTCTAACTTCTGGCTTCTAATGCATAACCTTGATTGAGCTTCACTTTTTGGTGAAGAAAACAGAGTCATGTTGTGTACTCAGGATAGATCACCAACCATGTCCCCTTCCTTTAGTACCTCATGGCAGCAACTAGAGCTGGAAGTCAAGAGAGCTCACCCAAAAAGCTTGACTCGGCCTTTGGATGATGCTGTCATTGTGCCATCTTCCTCCACGGTGTATTCAGCAGAGATGTTGTCCTGAAGGAAAAGGCCTTCTGGATCCTTCTTGGCCAGGGCATACCATTTCCCTGCATACTAAAATGAAAGACTGTTAACATCTGGATTAATCACCATTTTTGTAACTAGCCATTGCCTAGCCTACGGATAAAGTCTGAGTTTGGGTGGGTATGTAGCACACAGGTCCTGCTATGCTGTCTAACGAACCCTTGCTTGTGTGCCAGGAGGAGTGGGTCTAGCAGCCCTGCACTTCTACGTGCATGTACTCATTGTTGTGTGAGATATTCCTGTAACAGTGACCCCACACTGAGCACTTCTCCTGTCCCGAGATGCCTGCTTGGGAGTCAGGCTGGTTCTTCCCTCTTACCATTCAGGCCGCTGCTTTTCCAAGGAAGATGCAATCAACAATGCCAAACTGCAGCCACAAAGACCTCAGCAAGCAGGCTGGAGGCACTCTCATTGCTGCTGGGGGCCACAACTGATCTTTTCACCAGTTAATGGTGAAAAGGGTCTACCCAGCAAATCAGAAAGCAATGACTCTGCACTATGAAGAGGAAAGGGTGTGCTGGGAAGATGAGCAGCAGGGGGAAATGAAATGAAATTAAGGGGAAAAAACCCTCTGGGGGAAAAACGAGTCCCTGAAAATGTACCAGCAACATCTAGTAAAATGAAAACAAGATCTTAACAGGTGACTAATGGACAGGAAGGCTCTAAAAAGTTAACAATATTAGTAGAAATATTGAGAAAAGCAGAACTTAGCTGTTAATTTTGATCTCCAGAGAAGCTAATGAAATATGCTCAGCAAGTTACGTGCTTAAGCTTGAAATAGAGTCCATAACTGCCAAATACAGAAGCCTGAGAAACACTCTAACTCCTTAAAACTGGGCTGTTCCCAAAGCTCTCCTCAGACATGGGTTTGTTTCCAGCAAAGCCAATCTTGTATTGAGGAAGTGCTGACCCCTCCCCAGCTGCAGCTGCAAGTTATGTTTCCTGAGGGACCATTAAATAATTCTGCCCTTTCCAACATCAAGTTAGCCCCGATTTCCTCCTTGGAGGCAGTCAGATTAACTGCTGCATTTAAACAAGAGTCATTCTGTGTTCAGGATACCCAGCTGGATAAATTATCAGTTTCCTCTGACTCCCAGTAATGGCTGGTGGTGGATGCAAGTCCTCTGGGCATGAGCTCGGGTTTTCTCTCTAGTCTAAATTATTTCATTCACAGACTGCTCAGAGCTGAGATCTGCACCAAGCTTTGAGCTAACGGAAGATGACATCTAACAGAATAATGTCCCTGACTTTCAAGACCAGTTTCACCATTATGCTCAGAAGGTTAAACAGTAGTAAGAAAAACAAACTGCAGAAACTTTGAGAGACAGTACACGGAAGAATTTGACTTCATGGTGAGGAACCCGTTTAGATGAGCACCACCTGGAAAAACAGTTTATATATGAAGCTTCTTTACATATACTGTTGAAGTAACCATAATTACCCTTTTTGGATCAAAATTGTCTTTCACAGCGAAAGACTCCACTGCACAGGTCTGAGCTAGGCTGTATTCAACAGTGGAGACCATGGAGGCCAGGAAAACATACTGTGCGTATTTCATTCTGCAAGACAAAAGCAAACATGAGGTCCTATTTCATGCAGTAGGTGTAAGTAGCTAATGCTATGCCTACAGATACAGATTCCCCGCATTTTAAAACTAGGTTTTTTCCATGCTGAGTAGACTACCAACTCCTCCACTGAGAAAATACTAGGTCATTGTGGTGCCTGGATCCAGCCAAAATTGGACATCAATGGCAATTACTTCATAAAAGTGTTTTGCTCACCAGTAGTATTACTGTGGTTCATTGTATTGTTACATTGCAGATCAAGCCAGACTCTGGGTAAGGCTTGTAAGAATTCATAAAAATTTGATTCTTTTTAGATTTCGTTTTCACAGGAAGAGTAATGTTGCAATGAGTTCTGGTAACGCACCTGCAGGTTGAAAGGATGGTGAGGGTACACTTTGCTTTCAAGCTAGAAAAGCTGTGTTCTTTATGACCAGTTCTCATCGCTGAAACAAGCTGTTCCTAGCTGCCTATGCTAATGGCAAAACACATCTTAGTATTGTTTGCCCTCAGACCATTCCCTCTACACACATGACATAATACTCAGTTTCTAGAGGCTTGATCTGCCATTGCAGCACAGCCACAAGGTGGCCTTGGCTTTCCTCAGGTATTCCAGCTCAGCCGTACCCCAGCATATTTGTTTCTCACATTTTGGGAAGAGAGCATCCTCATTCTTGGAGAGTATTTGAATGTGAGTATCAGTTCTGATGCCAAGACAAAACACAGTTACCTGAAACTTGCCTGCAGCATCCAAGCTGTGCTATCAACCCAGGGCTTCCAAACATCTGAGCAACTACTCTGTTGACAACTGCTGCCTCTCAAACTGCGCTTCCCTGCTGCAAGAGATGCTAATCTGGCCCGCCTCTGCTGAAAAGAGACCTACCTGTTGGAGTAGAGATGCCCGAGATCCCTGGGACTAGTCTGCTTCCTTCTTTGGGTTGCAGTCAGCAGGAGAGTTTTGTGCCAAATGCCCTCCAGCTGCCTTTAAATAATGAATCTGTAAAGTCACTAATTGGTTATTTTCGCTCGTGTGCCTGAATAAAACACTTAATCTTGGATAATCCATTATGTAAAAAACAACTGTAATCCTCACACTGGTGGGTCTGACTGCTATCCTAATACAAACACAGCTTTTACATAATGGAAAAAGCTGTCCAAAAAGCTAACAAATCTGCTGATGTGATTGAAACACACCTTTGTCTCATTGAAGTCTTTCTGCTTCTAACACGTGTTAGGAGAATAAGCACAAAGCATTAGCCAGAGAAACTCATGGACTACACATACTCATCTGCATAGGCACATGTTCATATTTGACAATTCACATGGGGTATATAAGTAATTAGCTCTTCCAATATCTGCATTGTCAAATTAAAGTGATCCTTGAAAGAAAAGAAAGACATTATGCATTATCTACAGGGCGAAGTGTGTGTGTGGGGTGTGAAGATGAGAGAATAAAGATTTTGTCTTCATGTTCACATAAAAATCTTGGAATCCCCAGTTCTCCTGTGCACTGAAATACACATTCTTCCCAGTCCATCTTGTCAACATTTCCAGTCACATAAATACTGTATCTCTCTTATTCCCAAGATGTTCTTCCTAGGAGCCTTCCATGGGGATGCAATAAAGCACAAAAAGATGAGAAGGCGGAAACATTTTTGCTATCAAACTGTGACTGCCATTCTTGACATTTCCCCAAGCACACAAAGAATTACCCCAACTTCAAAGGCTGCTCATGAACTTTTTCTATGCAGGTTCACCCAGGAGATTTGAGACTTCAGACACTCATCTGGGAGTTGCCAGCACTAGCAGTTACTTCTCCCTCAGGGATCCTGGGTGCTGGAAAGCCTTGGCCATACCACTAGGCGTGATTCTACAGTTCCTATAGAGTAAACCCAGGAAGTCCTGAACCTCCTGGTACTCATCCAGCAATCTGGACACGCAGAGTAAGGCTAAAGCCTTCTGGATATGTTGGACTTGCTGCAGAGATCACTTACAGCCACTTGCCCAGGAATTCCTGACCAGAAGCACACAACCTTGCCCCATAACTAGTGTGAACTCTGCTGCTTTCCAGCCAACTTGTTTAGGGTTGCCTGTTGTCTAGGGAAGATAGTCCTTGCTTGCTGCCAGAGGAGACTTCGATTTGGTCTCTGTGCAGCTTCCACCGGCACTTCAGATGAGGCAATGACACTTTGCAGGCACAAGTCTAGCAGAGGGACTGAGCATACTGTGTTCATGCCACCTACATGGCTTCAAAGGCAACCTGGGCAACTTCACAGGGGAACAACCTGCTGGTAACTGGGACGGGAAGGTGAGAGCACCCATCCCAAGCTGGGGTGACCAGAAGCAAGTGCCGCAGCAGGCCCTCCTCTGCCTGATGAAGGGGCTGCATGCAGTTTCCATGCTCTCCCCAGCCACAATGGGGTCACGCCATCAAACCCCATGCTCTTGGACTTTTATAAGTGGCTTTCTTTGGGGCAGGTGGAGCACTTTTGGGCAGCTTATGTGCAAAGGCCCTTCTTCCCCTTGGCATTTTGGCTGCATTTATCCACAGACACCAAGACCTGGAGGTGTGGGGAGATGGCACACAGCCAGATGCCGTCCCGAGGTACCTGATGCTTTGTGTCCTAGGTAATGTGGATCTACCTCGTCCTGCCTGGACCCCTTGGCCTGATTTTGTAGAACGACGCCAAACGGTCTTTTGCCAGACTAATCCTTGAGCTACAGCTGTCTGCTCACCATATGTGCCATGCTCAGGGCCCCTGAAAGGATTGCACAGGGCTCGTGGCCTCCAGCACTGGGTGTGAAGATAACAAGCTCTGTCAGTTCAGGCACTGCTCATTACCTATGGCCTTGAGCGCACACTGCGCAGCCTACTTCTAGCTCCCCTGGCACTCATTCCTTGCAATTGTGTCTTCATCACCAGCACCATTTACTTCATCTAGAAGTGAAAGGAAAATAACAGAAAGCCTACTTAATTTCTTTACAGCACTTGGCAACTCAAAGAATGACATAGAAAGTAAATTCTTAAACTGATTTTTGAGGGCTAGATGCCCTCTATATTTTCAAAGGACTTCCCGCTGACACTGAATCTGAGTGCAGAAGAGTGCTTTTCCAGAATGGCACAGGATTTGACAGAGAAAGATGTGCAGTGTTTTCTGTAAATTAGAAGAGCTTCAGAACACTTATTGCTTTGTCTTTTCCAACAAAACAGATTAGTTTATGTCCGTGTGAGACATAGGTGACACTTGAAGCCATGCTTAGGTGACCACTTAATCCCGTGGGGATTAGTGGCATGCTAATAATAGCTAATCACAGCACAAGATTTTGGTTGGTGACCATAACATCTGTCACTGCATTATATGTTGTTTGGAATAACAAAAAAGCAATTAAACTGAACTTCATTTTCACAGTATTATGGTAGTTTGTGCTGGGAATAGAAAAAGAAAGGGAGGCGTAAAAGCAATGAAGCATATTCAAGCAATGAAGCCTGTTAAATTTGGTGTAACGTGAAACAGATCTTATAAAAAAAAAGGTGCACTGCAGGGTTCGGTTGTCAAAGAAGGTATCCAAGCACCTCTTCCAGATCTGCTCATCAAAGCTGGCTGTTTCTTAATAGAAGAGGTGTCCTGACCAAATAAAGCATATATTCAGTGTATTGGACTCAGCACAAGAGTAACTGGTAGTTTTAATGGCCTTCAATAAAACAGATGTGCGGATGAGACAATCTTATCTCCTGCACTAACATATGAAATTCAGCAGCAGCAGTTTTGGGTTTCCTACCCCTAGCAGCCCCCCTCCTTCTGCTTTATTATTGGAATAAGCATGGGTAAACTGCTCTGGGAATTACTGCAATTGCACTGCCGGCAGCTCAGCTGTGCTAGCTCAGCAGCCACCGGCACAGTATCACGTCTCTAAATAGCCTCCTGTACCAGGCATTAAGTTCCCTGCTGTCCAGTAGGCAATCAAATTGTGGGCTTGTTTACCAGGGTGCTGGAGAACAAGTACATGTAGATGCATTTTGAGTCACCTTTCACATCTCTTGTAGAGGTCATTGCACTGTAAGTCAGGAGGATTTCCTACTCCAGCTTCAGATCTAATTTGTGAGGCTGAGGATGAAGGGCTTCCTTCTGGGGTGTCTTGCACATGTGCCTGTATTGCTGGAGGACTCGTGTCCCAGTCCCATGTCTGCCATGGACTGAGAGGAGAGCGATAGTTTGTTCTACTTCCTTACCAGGGCAAGAGGCAGGAGAAATAAGGCTTTCCCAGTAAGGCTTGCACACCACATGATGGTCATTGACTAAGAGGTTCTAGGTTTCTGTGACTTCTGCTCAGAAATGCTGATCTTTCCCAGCGAAGGGAGTGACACAATACAGATGAAGAGGAAATCATTTGAAGTTTGTTCCTCTGTGGTTCAAGGGTAAGGTTCTTGGGTGTGTTATGTAATTAGATAAAAAAGCATCATAAATCACTGCCTTATTACTTTCAAGGTGCATTCAAATACCTCACAGCTTTAAATGACAAAAACTGAAAGGCACCTTTCCCATCTTAAGCATGATAGTGTCATTCTTGCTAAACATATTGGCTGGTAATTGGTAGATCAAGTGCTCATATGAATGCACACAACACATCTCAGACAGACACACATGTCCCCCCAGTTCACAAGTGAAAATGGGACGTTGCTCAAAGCATGTGCAGGTCCTCTGCTGTTATGGGTAGCCAGCACAGGGGGAAATGGTTTTCTCAGGGCCATTGACAAGAGCTTGGCAGCAAAAATAAGCTCCAGTCTCTCTCCCAAACCCTTGAGAGCATAGGATGAATGAAAAGCTGGCTAACATCTCTTCTGAAGCGGGATTTTAACATACAGGGATCCACCTGCTAAAAAGGAAGATCATTTTTTGTGCCACCTCCTCGTTTCTGCACAGCTGTATGGACAATGGTTGCAGCGTGATCAGTGAGCTGCTGGGTTTCCCTCTCCAAGCCATGACAGTTTCCCTAATCATAGAATCACAGAATCACAGAATGGTTTGGGTTGGAAAGGACCTTAAGGTCATCTAGTTCCAACCGCCCTGCCATGGGCAGGGACACCTCTCACTAAACCACGTCACCCAAGACTCCATCCACTCTGGCTGGCCTGTTGCTGCTCTGTACCAAAAGACCATCCAGGCCTGAGGCAACCTGATGAAAAAAAGATCTCGCTTGACCATTTTGGTCAAGATGGACATTTTGGTTGTTGTTTTCTAGTATTTACTACTAGGCGTACTGTTGACATATCTATGTTCATATCTAGTATTTACTGCTACTGAAACGGTCCATTTGCAGACATTGGCAGATTGATTAGACATTTGGTTAAAGATCCAGCACTTGTCTTTTCATGCCTCCCCACCAGCTCCTGGAGGGCAGAGATCAGGCTAGAAAGCCTGCCTTTTCAAAGTGGGGAAGGAGGATGACATCTGCAAACATGAGGGGAGTTCAGCTGTCTGGGAATAAAGTCTTTGCACTTGAAGACAGCTGTGATCCGTGGCCTGATGCTATTCTCCCTGGGGAAGGCAGGAGCAAGGAGGTTGCTCTCTTGGTGCAGCCAGTATTCCCTTCCCACATTTTGCAATGAGGTAGCAGACTGGAGTTTTTTTAATCCCTGGTGTTATTCCCAGGATGCCTTCAAAAAACAGCAGGCACAGACGGTGTGTGAATATCCCTGAAGATGTAAATCATGCATGTAATATTCTAAGTCTGCTTCCTCTTCTGTTCATGCAACAGAAGCATCTTAACACTAAAATCCCAGGAATATATCTGTAGGCTCTAACTTGTTGCAAAGCATGATGTAACAGTAGAATATATGTCCTGCATTACATATTGCAGACAGTAAGTGCTGCCTCTAGATTATTGCTCCAGGTTACTCCAATGGGGTACTTACAGCCCTTCACATGGCACGCATGTCAAG